ATCCTCCTGTTGCCCGAGAGCAGGGACCAGAACCTGCCCGAGAACATCGCCAACGGGGAACACTACACAAGGCAGCCATTGCTGCCACACAAGAAGGGGGAACAGCCACTTCTGCTCACCAACGCGGAGCTCAAGGACTACTCGGGCTTGCACGACGTGGCCGCAGTGGGTGATGGGCTACCGGAGGGGGCCACTGCCAATGGCATGAAGTCCATGTAGCTTGCTGGGCCACACCACCATTCCACCAGTCCCCTGGGGCTTGAAGGGCTGGGGAAAATTTGCACACAGACTTACAGACCAGAGAGAAGACACAGGCCTGGGGAGGAAGTCCAACCCTGCTGCTGACTCCACTCAATCGTCAAGACTTTCAACTGGTGTGGGGAATTCTGTCTTTCCAGACATCTGAGGAACAGACCTGAGAAATCAGGTGTTTGGGAAATAACCCTTCCAAGACTTTCTTTTCTGCCATTAAATGTTTGTATTTATTTTGGTCATTTTTACAAGAAGCACTTTATTCCCTTCCCTCTCGCTGATCATGAAGTGGAACCTTCTTCAGGAGTGAGGCAGAATCACTCTGAGGAAGTCCCTGTAAGTGACCAATGCAGTGGCCAGTCCCCTCCCTGGAGGTCAGACTCAATCTCCTTCTCCACTCAAGGAGACAGAGGGCGTCTGTAGGCCAGGACCCCTACCTCCAGGCTCACTGCCGTGGACAGTTGTGCCTCTCAAGCGGAGCATTCTTGGGACTACATTTTAGACAGAGGAAAATGTACATGAATTGGGTTTTTTCTATAGTCTGTATATTTTACAGTTGTGTTTTCTCCTTTCTGTTTGTAAGGTAGATTCCATCCCTTGTGTTGGGAAAGCAGCCCCAAGTGTCATAAGAGCCAGCTTAATCTTCCTTTCCTTCAGGATCATCCTTTTGTACTTGATCAGGAAGTTTTTGTGGGGAAACTTCCATACTTCACCAGAAATCCTACATGACGAGAAAGCACCAGTTTCCTGACACTGGGTTTGCTTAGTTAAGTCCACAGTAGCTGTTGTGTTGAGGTCTGAGATGTTTGTTTCTACTAAGACACTTTCCCAGACTGAGTTCCAGCAGTAAAGGTCCCTTTTCCCCATTCAGCTCTGTTGCCAGCACTACTTGAAAATGTGGTTACTTTCAGAACTCCAAACAACAGGAAAATAACTGAAATAGACAACTAAGGCAAATCCCAGGAGGGAGCCTTGCTCTCCCGCATGTGGCCGCCGCCCACATCTCCAGCACACACCGGAGGAGAGCTCTAGCTTGGATGGCTGTCACTCTGACATCACTACAGTGCCCATGGCACCTGGAGGCGATTCACCTCATGTCTTCCTCAGTGGCTTCCTGCCTGTCACTCACTCAGCACAAAAGGGCCCTGGGCAGGAGTGCAGGTTGCTCACAGGCAAGTCCACATGGCCTCTAGTCCCTTGAAGGCAGCAAGAAGTGAGAGAAAGCAATAACTCACCAAAGCTCAACTCCCATCCTGTGCCAGCCTCCCAGGATGTCCCTTATCTGTATCCCTCATCTTGCCCCAGACAGCAGGGCACCAGGGCTGCTGAGAAGCCAGCCTCTGGACCTCTTGCAGCAGCTCAGGCTGCTCTGGGCATCGTGGCTTCTTATCAACCATCTGCCTTGTCTCTTGCCATGTGTCTCTACCATGTGTTCTTCCAGGGAAATCGCGGTCTCGCGCCTGTGTGGGCAACTAAGTGACTTCTAAGCGACTGTTGCTAGAATTCAAAGGCCAGAGAACAGTTGAATTTATCCCCTTCCAGCTCCTTGTCTGGTCTGCTTCTTACAGTCTCACCTGCTTCTCCTCCCCACTTGATAGATACTTCAGCAGAAGCCAGCTGCCTTGATCAAAACTTCACGAGGGCAGTGATGTGATACGCACGTTTCCAGCACCTGGCCTATGTTCTCTTCGATGCCTGGGGTCCTGAGCTCTTTGCTTGAGGACCAATGTCCAGGAGGGAGGCTGTGTGGCTAGTCCCTGCTACCTGCTCCAAGTCCAGGTTACCTTCACCCTCCCTGGTCTCTTAGTCACCTCCCTTCCATGCCTTGATGTTAGTACACATCTCTTTCTAGATCTCTCTACATCTGTGCAGCCTTTGTGTGCCAAACTTGTAAGATACCTTTCACCTTTCCCACCAAGTCACCTGGCAGCAAACCCTTGTCAAGTACAGAATGAAACATCTGCACGGTGGAGAGCAGTGTCACGCTGGCTGTGCTGACCCTCTTAAGAGCACTGCTGAAACCACTGGGGAGGCGGGGTCAAGGTACAGCACTTCCAAACGTCTTCTCAAAGTTTCCAATCTCCGCCTTAAATGGTATAAACACTGGGCCAACGCAGACAGTGTTAATGGCTGCAGCAATCAGAACCAACCTATCAGGGATTAGCAGAGAAGCCGCCATTGAGGCAGGGGCCAGGGGACCACCAACCAGAGGAAGTTCAGAAGGCTGACTGCTGGCAGTGTCTTGACCTTTATGTGGCAGCCTCAGGGGGAAGGCTGAGTGATTCTGTTTCTGCTTCAGAGTGTGGATGCCTGAAGTTGCTAGAACACCTCATAAAGGTAGCCAAAACAGGAAAGCTTGCTGGTAGGCAAGCTTGCTATGTGGTCTGATCAATCAGAAGGGCAGCAGGACACCAGGCCCCAGACACGCTGGCCAAACTCCATAGGAAGAGGACACAGCCTAGCTCCCTGGTACCAAGCTGCTATTCCTGAACTCAGTCCCCTGCTCCTGTGGGTAGTAGCTTCTCAGGCACTGGTCCTTTGTGCTGGGTCCCTCCATCCCTGGTAACATTACAAGGTCTGTAGTCCTATTCTCCACCTACTCCTGTACCTGTTTTCATAACTTATGCACAAATGTGAACACCCAAGGCAGGGCTGGATCAGTTCTTCATTTTGCTCTTTATTAAGTCAAATATTATGAAATATCTAAATATTAGCACCCAAGACAAATAGGAAAAAGGTTTAGATGTTTTTGTGTTTTAAGACTATAATCACCTGCAACTGGAGGACAGGGCTGATATATGGGTTTGGCTACAAAATGGAAAGCAATCGAAACCAGACCTCATAAAGGGAATATCACATGCAGTCATGACTACTTCCCAGAGCCAAACGACAAGTCCCTGAACTGGAAGTGCCATTCAAAGAATCTCATGACCATTACACACCCAAGCCCTGGGTGGCACACAGGGTGAAGGAGGCCCACACTTGAACTCCTCCTTGCTGAAGGACACCGCCTCACTCTAACGTATTGTGTGTGTTTCGGAGCAGTATGGTGTGTTTTGTCTAGTGAGGAACGCTCCCCTACCTCTGTCCTCTTTGCAACCCCACCATGCGTGCTCTTCCTCTAGGAGCCGCGTGGCTGTACGTGTTGATGGGGGTGGTACCTGTTCATAGCACAAGTTTATGTTGAGCTCTGAACTGCCATTCACAGCTGCGTGTCTGCATGGTGTCGCATCTGTTGTACCTTTGGGGAAAATTTGTATGTAAATGTACAGAAATAAAAATGTTGCCCCATTAACAGATTTCCTCTGGAATGTCTTCCCTACCTCACTTGATGGTATCCACAAGGGCATTTCACTACCACTGAGGACGAGTACTAAAACCCTCCACGTTGACCAGACCTCCCCACGTCACTGCTTTCAAGGCTTCTTCTGTCAGTGACCTCCACTTGCCCTGGGGATGGTGGGGCCTCTCGTTCTGCTTGAAGAGTCCTAGTCTTAGAGGGTAGTCAGAAGCTGAGACCAGATTCAACTTAAATGTTTATGTGATTCTCAAACCATCTGAGAATTCAGCACATTGAAGAGGGATTTTTTTTTCTCATCTGTGTTCTGCTAATCCATGGCCTGAGGATTCCTAGAGAGGTCGAGGAATGACTCTCTACACTGTGATTCTCTGAGGAAAGACTGGTAATCCAAAACTCTCTACTGTAGTATTTTTTAACAAGAAAACAATATTTCTTTAATAAAGCGTTTATACCAAACTCTTCTCTTCATAGCTGATTGTGTGTTACTTGCTATTCTGTCTGAGAGCTAACCACTGGGCTTCCCACACTGCAGAAACACTGGCCGAGGCCTCAAAGGTTGGCATGCAAAGTATGCAGGAGGCAACTCTCGAACCACAGGCGTTATTACTCTTAAATGCCCTTATTCATGCCCCTGCCTGGCTCAGTGCAAAACCTTGGCACTGTACAAAATAATTATAGGCCCTGGATTGCACCTCTCAACACAAAAGGGCCCAGGAGACCCCAAGGATTACAAAGCTCTTTAGCAATGGTGGTCAGTTTTGTTAAAACATGGTTTTCAACCCATTAACTCAGGTGGAAAAATCACCATTAGAGCCCTAGCAATAGCCAGGAAAATGCTAAGGACTAAAAACAGCAGAAGGGCAGGGACTAGGGAGAAAGGAAAGCAAGGATGACAGAGCAAGGGGACCTGAGGCACTGATGCCCACAAAATGAAGTTAAAACCAAGGCTGACACCTGTCACAGCCTTTACAGTTTGGCAAGCATTTCTGCACACTTAACCCAACAAGCTAGGGATTCCTGCCATTTCTCAGATGGAAAGAACAGCCAAAAAAAGACTCCATGGAGCCCACAAATCCAGAAAGCTGCATTACGGTTCAAATGTAGCTTTAAAAACACAAGTAGGGTGTGCAGACAAGGCTTAGAGAGAACACTGGGAGAGCACCCAGAAGACTGATCTATCAGTTCACAAGACAGAAGCCTCGGGACCTGCCACATGAGCCTAAAGCCCAGCCATTGTGGCTCTTAACTCTAATGTGTGGAAGGAACAGAGCAGCCACTGATTTCAGCTGTTTCTGATTTCACTTTCCCCCTTCCCTAGCACTAAACAGTCAGGAAGTGTTTGTTTGTTGTCTGCCCCTTTTCTTCCCATGCCCATCAGTCTCCGACACCCACACTAAGAGGAGAAAGCCCAGGAGAGAAACGCTCTAAGCAAAGTATGAATGCAGCCTGAGACAAAACCCAACCTGTTTATTGAAATGTAGTTTATACACAAGTTACACACTCTTCCTTCTGCCACTCAGAACTTCTCCGGAAACGTCGCCATTTCTTCCTTGATTCTGTTTTCTACTAGTAATGTGAAGTTACTGTCTGTGTTGGAGAGATTGTAGCTGACAAACACCTGTTTACTGGTCTTCCTGGCTAAAAAGAGAAAAATATGTTGACAGCCACAATCAGAATACCCTGAGTCCATGTTCCACAACCTGCCTAGAGCTGGGAAGTTCTTAGAAAGACTGAGACTTGGAGAAGACTTCTCAAGGGCAGGACATGCAAATGGACATCTAACCCCTCATCGACTCTGGAGCAGTGGATTTAGTACAGGCCTTGCAACAGCACCTATAGCTTAGCATGAACTACAGAGTCCCCGGCCCTTCCTGACTTCTGCAGGAGAAAGACACAGTGTTGGGGCCAGGAGTCTATGCTCAGAAGCTCTCAGGTGACCACACTAGAATCCGAGAACCTCTACTTTACATGGGGCTTCTGGCTTCAAAGGTTTTGTTGTTTCAAAAACATTAAAATATTGAAGTTCTCTATCACCACCACACACCTCCATCATTTTCCACTCTGCTTCTAGGAGTAACTCTTCCATGCCCAGGGCACAGGCAGAAACTGCCATTCTCCTATCAGAGTACCAATCCTTCCCTCTAGTCCAGTGATCTCACCCTTCTTTTCAGGCTGAAAAACGGAGTAAGGGTAGGGAGCCACAATACCATGACAAAACCGTGCTGTAGAATACATCAAGCTTCAACCTGGTGCTGACTCTGTCCCCTTCTGCAACTCTGTTTGCTTGTTTGTTGTTTTTTTCAGGACAGGGTTTCTCTGTATAACAGCCCTAGATGTCCAGAAACTAGCTCTGTAGACTACTCTGGCCTGTAGATCTGCCTGTCTCTGCCTCCAAGTGATGGGATTAAAGGCGTGCACCACCACCCCCTCTGCAACTTTTACCTGCAGTCAGGAGGGGGAAAGTAAAGCTACCTTCAAGCCTGGGTCTTTCCCCGCTCCACCACAGCCTGAAACCTCTCTGGGCTCAAGATCCTCCTTGGTAAATCAAAGGCAATTAGGCCTCTGACTCTCAAAGACGTTTTTAATTATTTTCTTTATTAGATATTCAAGACTGTGTGTTTGGTTTGTTTGGGCTTGTTTGTTTTTAGATAAAGGGATCTTGGGGAATATTCCATTGACTGGGCAGCTGATGTATGTAGAGAAGAACCCAGCCTCTGTCCTGAGAATAGCTGGGTGGATGGTATGGCACGCCTTTAATCCCAGCACTCGGGAGGCAGAGGCAGGCGGATCTCTGTGAGTTCGAGGCCGGGCTGGACCGATACCCTCCGAAACAATACAGAGAAACCCTGTCTCGTAAAAACCAAAAAAAAAAAAAAATGTGAGTCACCACGCCCAGTGTGTTTATGTAAAAACATAAATAAATGAAAGGATGTAGTCAGACATACCGGCACACATATGTAATTCCAAATCCTAGCACTTACACAGAGATGGGATGCTAGCCCTATGTTCTAGGTCAGCGAAATCATGAAAGATAGACCCTGTCTTTAAAAAAGAAGAGGAGGAGGGCATCTGGACGGAGGCAGTTGTTCAGTTAGCAGAGAAGACAGTGCCTTACAGTGGCTGATAGCACTTTGTTTGGACCAGCCACCAGTTTGCTGCATGCATGTCCTCAGTGTTCTGCTCAGTCCAAGGAGTGGAGCAGGGAGACCCAACAAGCCTTCCCCCGCCCCAGCCAGTCTCCCATCCCATTCCCTTAGGTGCAGGAGGGAGTCTGGGACTTGCTAGTTAAGACAGTGATCTGAGAACCAGTCAAGATAGTGAGATCCACAAAGACCAACCAGAAAGGGGCCATAAAATCCCAGTGCCTAGTCTGTCCTCTCAGCAGCAGTGGCATGGCCTTCCCCTCTCCCCACAGGAACACACTGTACTGTAGTTCCGATCAGTCTAATTGCTAAGGGGGCCACTGTGTCTTTGGTTCAATCTTTCAGGCCCATCTCTGCCCTGAAAGTTGACCAGAGCCTAGGACTTCCTCCTGCATGCAAAGCTATGGTGCAATGCTTCCATGGCCACTGAGAACCCTGCAGCCCAGCTCTTAGCCATCTGTGTTCATCTTCCATAGACGATGTTATTGCAGGACACCTCTATCTTTATTACTTGTTACTGATACCTGTCCAGACCCAAGAGACCAGTCAACCCAGGACTTTGCTGAGCAAGTCCCTAATCTGAGCTCTGTGTGGTACCAGACCTTTCAAAGATGCCAGCTGCCATGCCAGGTCACCAAGTTACTTTGCACAAAACCTGGTATTAGGCCTCTATCTCATATTCTTGAGCCAACTGTTTTTTTTTTTTTTTTTTTGGCATAAAATCATTGCTGGCACACACTAGGATATGTTGAAAAGGCAAAGGCAGGAGAATCATGAATTTGAGGCCCGCATGGATTACACCCTAGGGCCTGGAGAGATGGCTCAGCTACTAAGAACAAATACTGTTCCTGCAGAGGACTGGAGTTTAGTTCCTAATACCTGTGTCAGGTGGCTCACGAGTTCAGAGGATCCAGCACTCTCCTCTGGCCTCCATGGACATTGCACTCACACGCACAAACTCATACTCAGACACACACATATATACATTGAAAATATAGTCGTTAACAAAAAAAACAAAATTTTGCCACCCTTTTCTACCAGGGACTGTCATTGCAAGTCAATTAGGCATCCTGTCCGCATATATACAGACACTTCCCTCAACTCTAAGTGAACATGAGCACATAATAATCTGCTTGACATAAGTGTGTTTAAAAACACATAAGGCAGGACTAGAGAGATGGCTCAGAGGTTAAGAGCTCTGACTGCTCTTCCAGGGATCCTGAGTTTGATTCCCAGGAACCACATGGTGGCTCACAACCATCTACAATTCAATATGGTGCCCTCTTCTGGTATGTAGGCAAAACAGTGTATATGTAATAAGAAAATAAATCTTAAAAAAAAAACAAGGCAGCACTTAGAAGCAAAGGACATCATGTCCCCCACTGACTTTCACGTGATTCACAGGGGAGAAAATGTAAGCACAGAAAAGGAAGGACAAATACTACAAGTTTTGGTATAGGCTCAGCAGAAATTCTTTCCTATAAGCTCAAAATTACTTCCTAATAAAGTTTCCAAAACAGCTCATGAGTCAGGTCTGTTTCCAGGCTAGGACCCTGAAAGCTCCTGTGACCTCTGCTCTCCCTAACCTCTGACCACAGGATACAGGAAGTCTGGAGCCTTCAGTAATTGGTGATGTTTCTCCTGGACTGTGTGCTAGCTGCTCATGTGTAGGTGACTGAAAGCAACAGACCTTCCCACTTGTCAAGATGATACAATTTTCTTTGTACAACTCCAAAACTGATATATAAGATACTCAAAACTGGTGACTGGGTTCTTTCCCATCACATCCCTTTGGATTCAGGGGACCTTGGGATCACTGGGCTCAGAAATGACTTTGGGATGCTGGAAAACACAAGACTGAGTCATTAATGAGGGCACCCTGTGCATACCAGCCATGGGCAACTGGGTCTGGAGATCACAGAACACAAGTTATTCTTACCTGAATCACCTAAGTATCTGTAATTTAAAACACACACACACACACACACACACACACACACACGCACGCACGCACGCACGCACGCACGCACGCACTCTCGAGAAGAGTGGAGCCTTCAAGCTCATGCTTTCTGTTAAATACCCACCCTACTCTGCATTCACTTCACCAAGCTCTGACTGTCACACTGAGCCTGAGAAACAGTCCTTCCTGCAGTAGTGACATCGGCCACAGGTTCCATAGAAATTGCCATGAAGTCCCGGGAGCCACCCTGAGCAGCTGTCCCTGGGCAGGATTCATTCTCTCCCACAAGGAGAAGATACACTCATTGAAAAAAAATAAGTAAATCAGCTTGTAGATTCCAAGGGGGAGCCGAGAAGAATGTGGGTGTTCCCAAAAGTTCCCTGGGATCATGATGATACTGAGACAGTGGGGACAGGTACATATAGATGTGTTCCATCACAAGACCCAAAGGATGGAAGTCTTCTTCTAACAGTAATGAAATTTCTTTACTTCTGAGGTCATTTGTCCTAGGACATGAAACAGTGGGTCACCTGTGGCTGGTGTCAAGCACTAATTGTAGGTACGTACCTAAGCGCTGGGCAAGGCCAGTGGAGGTTGTGTCAGAGGTGTCTCCAAAAAGGGAGGTGCACACAGGGATAGGGTCCTAAAAAAGAAAAAGAAAAAAAAAAAGGAGTATACTGTGGATTCTCCTAAACCAGGCAGCTTTGGGTTCCACACAGGGTGTCAAGGCAAGAAGAGGACATACGAATGTCCCCAGGGGCTGGCATTTGTCAATAGCCAAAAACCAGATAACCCCAACACAGAAGAGGTAAAATGAGGGCAAACAGAAACCACCTGCAATGGGATCCATGAGCTATAAATAAATTCTAGGGCCTATTTCACATAAAGGGATTGTTTTTCTATTACAAACTCCAAAGTAAGCTGAAGGGCATCCCAACCAGAAGGGAAGCAAACAAACTCACTAGGGCCACAGCAAGAAAAGTGACCAAAATCTGGGTGCCTGGTCCTATTGCTCAGCTGAGAAGCAGGGTCCTAACTTCCTCAGGAAAGCCTACGAGAGCACAGCTCTCATTCCCTGAAGGATTGTGAGGACTTTCGAAGATTAACAAGCAGTCTAGGATTCACCGGCATCCAAACAGCAAAATTAAAGCCTAGTATGAAATGGCTGACCAATCTTGTTTTGGCTAAGAAGCAATAAAATGTAACAGAGTAGTATGCTTGCCTAGCATGCACAAGGCCTTGGGTTCAATATCCAGCACCCACCTCAGCCCCCAAAAGAAAGCTTGTTAAAAAAGGAAAAAGCCTACTCACTAACTTGCTCTGGGGTTTGGTACCCTTGCCAAACTATCCAATTACACACCATTTCCTAAGGACTTAAAATCACTTTTAGAATTTCTTTAGGTATACAGAAAACAGAAGTTATTTGTTTTTTTGTTTGTTTGTTTTTGTTTGTTTGTTTGTTTGTTTTCGAGACAGGGTTTCTCTGTGGTTTTGGAGGCTGTCCTGGAACTCCCTTGGTAGTCCAGGCTGGTCTCGAATTTACAGAGATCCGCCTGCCTCTGCCTCCCGAGTGCTGGGATTAAAGGTGTGCGCCACCAACACCCAGCCTTATTTGTTTTTTTTTTAAGGCAGGAAATTAGCAAATCCATTTCTGACACAAGTATAATCGTAAACCTGTGTTTACAGACTCTTAGTTCAACATTTAGCTGAAACATAACAGTACTTACACTTAAGCCTCCCGAAGTAAATCTACTTTACCCACTGACTTTGTTGCACCAAAACCAAAAATTGAAATCCCATCTTGCTACTGTTATTAATATAGTTCATTACTTTCAAAGAGGGCATGGGTCTCTCAGAAGACACGCTCAAGGCCACATTTACTAAGGTGAGAGCACCGCCTTTGACTCCCAGGCATAGGTCAGGAAAACCTTACATCCCAGGCCAGCCACCCTCGGGGCTACTTAGTCTCAGCATCATCCTCTCTGGGTACCAAAACCCTTGCTGCTGCCAAGACAGACCAGCTAGAGAAGTGTCTTCATCCTGTGGTTTCCGTTCTCCATCATTTGTTGTGGATATACAAGTTTAGGGGTAAGGGAAAGGACACACACACACACACACACAGAGGCACTGTACTCATGGACTAGCACACCTTTTTTAGGAATGATAAGATTGTAAATAGTTTAGGTTTCAGTGGCCACAAGCCCTCTGGTAGAACTAACTGCTCAGCCCCGCCATCAAAGCACAAAAGCTACCACAGTTTCCACCTGCATTGACAGATGTGGCCATGTTTTAGTAAAACGTGGTGACATTAGTCGGTCCTTACTGCCTGACTGGCTACAATTTAGGACTTCATGAAGAAGTCTCAACCATTATCCAAATGACTTAATGAGCAGCCCAAGGACACTAGGCACAAACCTCACCTTAAAACACTAAGAGGAGTGACTGGGCAGGAAGAGAAAACAGGCCCTGTAGAGTCACCAAAGTCTCAGGACCATATTCTGAGCTCATCTTGAAGGGTCTTTAGCAGAAGAGTGGCAATGTCTGACCTGTCTTATTTTTTATTTTTTCCTGTATGTATGCATATGTACATGCATGTTCCTAAATGCAGGTGCAAATGCACAAACACACAGACACACACAAGCTCATACCAGAGTATTGGGAGCCCTTCATCCCACAGGAGTGGTATATTCCAAGAAGAGACAAGGCCTGGGGTTCCACACAGTGGTGGAGCACTTGCATAGCATATCAAGGCCTGAGAGGAGGCCCTAGAGCCAAGGGCTGACTCAAAAGAGAAGACATCCTTACAGACACGCAGGGAGAAGCAGCCATGTAATGTAGTAAGGAAGACTACATTGTGGCATCTAACAGTCAAGGGCTAACAAAGACTGCAGCAAGCCACTTGAGGCTGAGGGCCCCATGGGACGGGTTTTCCCTCAGTCTCCTGATTTTGGTCTCCAGGTTTTATTTAGACTTGCGCTCTCCAGAACTTAGAAAACAAAGCAGTGCCTGATCCTACCCAGTTTGTGGCTCTTTGTTAGAACAGTCTTAGGGAAGGCATGCAGACAGCAAGGGGGAAGCAGGGAGGTTTTAGCTTTGGGTGACAGACATAAAGACAGAGTCGCACTAGCTCATGTTTTCACTGACAGAAATGCCCAGGATTTAATGACTCTGGACACATGAATCGTGAGAGAAGGAAGGGTCAAGGACAACCAGATAGCCCTCAGAATAGGTGGGGTTGCCAATACAGAGGTGAAAAGCTGTGGGACCTACAGTGAAGGGGAAAGTTTGTCTTGAGTCTGTCGGTCAAGTACCTATCAGACATTTAAATCTAAGCTCCAAGTTCGGAAAAAAGTTTTCTAAACCCGCTGTAAATTTTAAACGGTGTGGCAAAAACAAAAACAAACAAACAAAAAACCACAAAGACGTGGCCTACGGCAAGCACACACACATACACATCTCAAGGAGAGCAGAGGTTCTGGCAGGCTCAGAGCACAGGAGCGGAGCTGAGTGTCCTTTGGGGTGATGCAAATTCCCACGAGTCAAGAAGCAGGCCTCGGGGACTCCAGCCCAAGGTGTCCAGGGCAGGACCCCAGGACGAGCTGAGGCCCCTCAAGAATCCCTCTCAGGGATACACGTGACCAGCCTCACTCCCACCAGCCTCACCGGTTCCAGAACCTCCCCTGCGGTCCGCACTCGCCACCCCTCACCCAGCACCCTCCGGACGGAGCTCCACCCGCTTCCTGTCCAGGCCCCGCCCACACTCACGTAGCGGCTGCACATGGCCACTGCGAGGTTGCGTAGATGCGGCGTTGCCCCCACCCACAGGAAAAGCGAGTCTGTGAGCCGCATGACGTGGAAGTGGACGAGCTGCTCCAACAGCCTTGCGCTGAAGTTGTGAAGCGACACGTTCGCGCCCGCGACGGCCTGCGGCTCCTCCATACCGCCCGCCACCCGGGCCACAGCACGGCAACCAGGATGGCGCGGACGGCCAGACCAGAGAGAGCGAGCGCCGAGAGCCCCAAAGCGTTCACTTTCAGATGCGCGCGCCGGGGTGGGGCGGGGCGAGCACGAGGGGCGGGGCTTATGGGAAGTAGGTAGCCTGCTGTAGACCCTGTACCTTCACAAAGGTGCCTGTGGGAGAAAACCCAGCCTCGCCTAGGAGTCTGACCTCTGGGGACTCTCTGAACTCCCCCTGTCCTTTCCCTTCTTCCTGGGTGGGTGTGTTAGTGGGCTGAAGCCAGCCTCAGCGGCTTCCTTTGCCCAGATAATTCACTCTGAGTGCTTTAACAGCCGCTACCTGCCACACCCACTCCTAGCTGTCTCTGCAGCAAGCCTTGGGCGTATATAACCCTACTGAACAGTAACGATCCTGGGAAAAAGCTTTAAAAAGGAACTACATAGACCGTGGCAGGAGAACAGGCCTTTTGGAGACAGGCATGCACAACCACCGTTGCCAACACCGGCCTTTTTTTTTTTTTTTTTTTTTTTTTTTTTTGGTTTGAGACAGGGTTTCTCTGTATTGTTTTTGGAGGCTGTCCTGGAACTAGCTCTGTAGACCAGGCTGGCCGCGAACTCACAGAGATCCGCTTGCCTCTACCTCCCAAGTGCTGGGATTAAAGGCCTGCGTCACCAACGCCCGGCTACCAACACCGGTCTTAAGCTAAACCTTTAACTTCTCTGAGACTTGGTTTCCTCGTATACAAGATGGATATACAAGTAGGGAGCTTTTAAGATGTGAGAAGCCCTATGGAGTGTGGTGATATGCCTGCCCAGGGACCCTGTAATTTTAATCACTGTTGAAGTGTTTGGAATGAGACCCTTGGTGGGTTGAGAGGCATATAAACCTTCCTGTCCCATTTATCATGCCTTTTACTGCTGACTTGGAAACTCTAGGAACTGTAGGAGGTTTGCTAAAATCTCCAGTAACTTTAAGTGGACTAAATTGAGATTTAAAAGGGTTATGTGGTTTGAATATGACTTGTGGCCCACTAGGATCCATTATGAGATACTTTGGTCCCCATGGGAGATCATAGAATGCTGGGGAGATACGGCCTTGTCTGGAAGACCTAAGTCACTGAGGACAAGGAGGTATTTTTCTGGTAGACTTCCTGAAGTAGTATAAAAGCAGCAAACTCAACTACACACATCCTCTTTTTGCCAACTCTTTCTTCCCTGATTTGTGCTCCTATGACTGCCGCCCACCCTTCACCAACCATTCGGTCCCCGCGAAGTCCTCACCGTAACTCAGCCAATGCAGATACCACACTCCTGAATCTCCCAACACCATTAACTAAAATCTTTCCTCTTTATAAAGCTAATTGCCACTGGTATTTCATTTTAGTAACACAAGACTGATAACATAGTAGAGTGTTTTTCATACTTTGGTTCTATTTGCTAATTATCAGTGGTTTGGGTCATATTTTAACAGCTTTATTATACTTTAGTATAATTCACCTAATGACTGCACATATTTCAAATGTACAAATTAGGGAATGGGAAACTTGGAGGAAGGGAGTGGGAAGATGGATGTGATATTTCCAAATAAAGCATTCAAATTGAAGTTTTAACATCTGTAAAATCCATGATCCCACCATCACAGTCGTTATAGAAAATCTAGTAGCTCTCTCAAATCGCAGTATCCTATCTCTCAAATTCCAGTAGAGTCACCTATCCCCTCACCTCTAGTCTATGCTATTGCTATAAGTTACTGTGTGTTCTCCTCCTCCACTGCTGGTGGGAATGCCGACTCATACAGCCTCTTTGGAAATCAGTATGGAGATTCCTCAGGAAAATGGGAATTAATCTACCACTAGACCCAGCAATTCCACTCTTAGGCATTTATCCAAATGAGGCAGGTTCATACAACAAGGGCATCTGCTCCACTATGTTCATAGCAGCATTGTTTGTAATAGCCAGAACCTGGAAGCAACCTAGATGCCCCTCAACTGAAGAGTGGATAGAGAAAATGTGGTACATTTACACAATGGAGTATTACTCAGCAGAAAAAAACAATGTAATCTTGAAATTCGCAGGGAAATGGATAGCACTGGAAGAAACCATCCTGAGTGAGGTAACCCAGTGGCAAAAAGACAAACATGGTATGTACTCACTCATATATGGATTTTAAATATGGATCAGGATAGTGCCAGTCTGCACTTCCACAGATAGAGAGTCTGGGAAACAGGAAAGAACCTAAAAGATATGCATATATGCATAGTACCCAAGAGAAGAGGATGGAGACAAGATCCTCTGAATGGATGGGGAACACGGCGAGGGGGGTAGTGGGACCTGGGAAGAATAGAGGGGGTAAAGAGGAAGGGAGTTGGACATGGGGGAACAGGAAGTTGAGGGGGTGGGGGAATCATAGGATCGAAGACAGATCAGGCACCAGAGTGACCTCGAGTGATCTAAAGGTATAACATCAATTGGCAAGCTAAGCAATAGTGGAGTGACCACCTCGAATGCCCATTCCTGATAGTGAACTAGATGTCTATAACCATCTGGGAGCCTTCATCCTGTGACTGATGGAAGCAGAGGCAAACACACAACTAAGCACTGAACTGAACCCAAGGAACCCAGTGACAGAGAGAGAGGAGTGATGAGCAAATTGGCAAAGAATGGGCTGGCAAAACCAGCAGAGACAGCTGATCTGAACAGGGGAGTGCTCTTGGACCCCAGACCGACAGTGGGGAGGCCAGAATGGGACTGATCTGGACCCCCCCAAATGTGAGTGTCAGTGAGAAGGCCTGGGCAACCTATGGGGCCCTGAGCTGTGGATCAGTGTCTATCCCTGGTATACAATCTGTCTTCATGTGCCTATAGCACAAAGAGAGATGCTCTCTCAGCCTGGACTCTTAGGGGAGTGCCTTGACCCTACCAAGAGTAAAATGATAGACTCTAGATATCCCCTATGTGGAAGGATTTGGCAATAGGGTGGGAGGGAGGGTGGAAGGGGAGTGCGGGAGGAGGGGAGGGAGAGGGAACTGGGATTGACATGTAAAACAAGCTATTTAAAATTAAAATAAAAAATGATAAAAAAAAAGTTACTGTGTGTTCTCTAGAGTTTTATATAAATAGAATTACACCATATATTTGACTTTTCTCTTGCATCTTTCATAGATTAGAATCCTTTCTAGACCCTTCCAAATGATGTGTATCGGTACTTTACTCCCTTTTATTACAGAACTGAGTTCTTATGCATGGGTACCACCATTGTTTATCCATTCACAGGTTCATAAGGGTTGCTTCAGTTGTTTTTCTTGGCTTTACAGTAAACCTGATCAAACATATGCATACAGCTAAGTTTCTGTGTGCTTTTATTTCTCATAGGTAAAACCTGGGAGTAGAGTGGCTTTTTCCTACAGTTGTATATTTGCATCTTTTAGAATCTGCCAAACCATCTCCCTCCATGTTTCTTCATTCCCATTGACAGTGCCTGAGAGCTTCACCAGGATCCACTACGTGCTCACCACCCTTTATTTTACGGGTAGCCATCAGTATAGGAATATACTGGGATAATGTTATTGTAATTTGCTTTTTCTTTTTTTTTTCTTTTTTGAGAGGGTTTTTCTGTGTAACAGTCATGGCTGTTCTGGAACTCACTTTGTAGACCAGGCTGGCCTCAAACTCACTGACATCTGCCTACCTCTGCCTCCCAAGTGATGGGAGTAAAGATGTGCACCACCACCACCCAGAATTTTGTGTTTTCTTATTAGCTAAGGGACCTCATTTCACATCTGCTCCCACACAAAAGTGAACCAAAATGGTTCATAAACCTCAACATAAAACCTGAAACTATGAAACAAGGAGCAGGAGAAAACCTGTGATCCAACAAGAGGTTTCACAAGAATGTGAATCACAAACAAACTGATCAATTGGACTGCATCAAAATTAAATTGTTCTGCTCTTACAAAAGCAATTAATAAAGTGAAAAGATGCCAGGCAGTGGTGGTGCACATCTCTAAACCCAACCCTTGGGAGGCGGAGACAGAAAGACCTCTGTATTCAAGATCAGCCTGGTCTACAGATCAAGTTCTACAGAGAAACCCTGTCTTGAAAAAAGAAAGAAAGTAAAAAGACAAGCCACAGACTAGAAGAAAGTATTTACAGAACAAATGTCTTATACAGAATTTATAGTCAAAATATATAACTAATTCTCAAAACTTAATAATTAAACTAACATTAAATTTTAAAATGGGGAAGGCTGGAGACATGGCTCAGGCTTAAGAGCACTGGCTGATCTTCCAGAGGACCTGGATTCAATTCCCAGCACCTATATGGTAGCTCATAACTGTCTAACTCCAGTTCCAACACTCCTGACTTCCATTGCACCAGGCACATACATGGTTATACAGACACACATGTAAGCAAAACACCCACACACATAAAATAAGATTTTTAAAAATTAAAAATAAATGTGAATGAGTAATCCATACATTGTGGTTCAAACTTGGAATCCCAGCACTCTGGAGGTTGAGAGGCAAGAAGATCATGAGTTCGAGGCCAGCCTGGGCGACATGGCAATTTTCAAGCCAGCACTTAGGGAGGCTACATAGGGAAACTCTATCTGAAAATCAAAGATCTTTTTAAAACCCTGAAACTTCAGCTCCAGTCCTCACTGGCCCTGGGATAGCTGGCACTGGCCCTGGATGGACACTGCAACAGGAGAGCTTCCCCTCCCCCATGGGAGAATTGGAGCCCTGGTTAAGAGAAATAGCCCCACACCTCACCACGGGTGTGGAAGAGCTGGTTCTGCCCCTCACCTGAGGAGGCCTGTCTGTGAGGGTCCAATGAAGATGTTATGCTAGAGGCCTTGAACCAGATCAATGACTCAGCAATGAACATTATGTGGCGGGGCTGATTGGGAAAAAAGGATAGACTAAATGACACGCTGAAGCTCCTAGTGCCACTGGGATGAATGAAGAGGTGTTGGAATGACGGAGGGCAAGGCGGTTTTGTTTTTGTTTTTGTTTTTTACTGTTTTGTTTTCGATTGATTTTTTGGGAGGGTTTCTTTGGGGAAGAATGGTATAAAGGGACTGGGAGGT